GTCTTCTTTTCAGTTGGCATACTGCACAGTTTGCTGTCTTCACTTGCCTAATTTTCTTTTGAACCTAACTGATTTCGCATGTATCAGGAACTTGTTCAAAAGCTTTTCTGCACGAGACAACTCGTAAGCTTCTAACTTATTAATCTTCAATGATGAAGCATTTTTTTTCTTTTCATTCTGTCTACTTCAAATTTACATAAGCTGATTTTCACTACACTTCTAGATTATTTGGAGAGTGTCTGAGCAGCTATCCTTGTCCAAAAGGTAACAATATATCTTTTAGATTCAAAATATGATTATAAGGTACATACTTTAGTTACCCAACTGGAGTTTGCTTTTTAATTATTTAATTTCGTGCAGATTTTGTAGAAGAACTCAGTTAATTTAATATTTCATATGACCTGATGGAAAACTTGCTTTAATTTCGTGCAGATAAGACTATTTCAATTTCATTTATCTACTCAAATAATTGCTTTAATCTGATTACAATTCATGTGATTTTTTTTCTTGGTTGTTACTGAATAGATCTGTACTCATTACATATAAATTGTGGTGGAAAGGCAACCACCATTGGACGAATTAACTTTGAAGGGGATCAAGACTCAGGAGGTGCAGCAAAATTTGTTCCTTCGAGACCTAACTGGGGAATCAGTACTACTGGACATTTCTGGAATGTTAATTCCACCTCTAATGACTACATAGCAAATAATGCATCCACACTTGGAATGAACAACTCTGAGTTGTACACAAGTGCACGCCTATCTCCTCTTTCTCTCACGTATTATGCACGCTGTTTCGGAAATGGAAACTATACTGTGAGGCTTCACTTTTCGGAGATAATAATCCGAGGCAATAGATCTTTTTACAGTCTTGGAAGACGGATATTTGATATCTATATTCAGGTAGCCAATCCCATTGTTTATGCACTGTCTATGCTAAGTGAGATGATTTCTGATTGATAAAGTTTGTTACAGGAGAAACTGGTGTGGAAGGATTTTGACATTGAAAAGGAAGCACGAGGGGTTGATAAGGAAGTCATTAAGGAACTTAAAGCAGTTGAGGTTAAGAACACAACTTTAGAGATCCGATTTCATTGGTCTGGGAAAGGGACAACAGTTTGTCCAAAGAAAGGAACATATGGTCCTCTTATATCAGCTATCTCTCTAGAGTCTGGTATATTCTGAGTTGCAAACTTTAGTTCTCTCTCTCCCATACACACGCGCGCACACACAATTTATCATAGAACAGAAGCTTATGTCATTGTAACCTTTTTTTTTGCCTTTCATTTTCTATAATTTTGTAGAGTTCCCGCCTCCTCATGATAAGAAAAGCAAGGTACCTATTGTGGTGGGAGCTTCAGTTGGAGCTTCGGTTTTGTGCCTCATTTTCTTGATTTTAGGCATTCTTTGGTGGGAAGGCAGTCTGGATAGCAAGACGTCAAGGGAAAAAGGTGCTATTAAGCTACTGTGAAAGTTTCACGTAGTACATTGTTCTCATTATTCTTTCAAATTCCACGTAACTAGGAAAATACACTCTCAGACACTAAGTTCAAAAGAACTGTTGTAAATACTTAAGACATTGTTAATATCCTAACCTTGCTCTTTGTACAGCTCTTAGAGAACTGGATCTGCAAACTGGATTTTTCACCTTCAGGCAAATTAAAGCTGCCACTAACAACTTTGATCTTAAAAACAAAATTGGGGAAGGCGGTTTTGGGTCTGTCTACAAGGTACCATATAACTAATTTCCTTACTTCTAGGCCTATACTTATCACACTTGAAAACTACTAAACTGTATTTATTTCAGGGTATATTATTGGATGGTACTTTAATTGCAGTTAAGCAACTATCATCCAAATCAAAGCAAGGAAATCGGGAATTTGTGAATGAAATAGGCATGATTTCTGGTTTACAACATCCAAATCTTGTTAGATTGTATGGATGCTGTATTGAATCAAACCAGTTACTGTTGGTATATGAATACATGGAAAACAACAGCCTTGCACGTGCTTTGTTCGGTAAGCTAGCTTGTCAAGTCCAGTGACAAAAAACTGAAATGATGTATAGAAAAACAAAAATGAGATCATTGATTGGGAATCCATGTTTGTTGCAGTTCCGGAGGAAAGTCCTTTAAAATTGGACTGGCCTACAAGGCAGAAAATATGCATAGGCATAGCAAGAGGTCTGGCTTTTTTACATGAGGAATCAGCACTGAAGATTGTACATAGAGACATTAAAACTACAAATATATTACTAGACCGAGACCTTAACTCCAAGATCTCGGACTTCGGGTTGGCCAAGCTTGACGAAGAGGAGAACACCCACATTAGCACTAGAGTTGCTGGAACTGTGTAAGCTATACTGTTTTTTTTCTCTGAACTGCATTTCAGAGCCTAGTTTTGTTTGTGAACTTTTCTCCACCCAGCTAAGGAAAACAATCGTTTTTTGTGTGCAGAGGATATATGGCGCCAGAATATGCACTATGGGGTTATTTGACCTACAAAGCAGATGTCTACAGCTTTGGTGTTGTTACATTGGAAATTGTTGCTGGAAAGAGCAACATGAAATATCGACCAAATGAGAACTTTGTATGCCTTGTGGATTGGGTAAGATGGATCTTCATTCAAATTCCTTCCAACTTGGTCATCCTTCTTTCCTTCTATGAGTTACTTTTACTTTTAAATTTCAGGCTCTTGTTTTACAACAAAAAGGAGAATTATTGGAGCTGGTGGATCCAAGGTTGGGGTCCGATGTGAGTGAGGAAGAGGCCATTAGGATGGTTAAGGTAGCTCTCTTATGCATCAATGCAGCACCAGCGCTTAGGCCTACCATGTCTGCAGCAGTGAGTATGCTTGAAGGGCGGACGGCTGTTTATGAATTGGTCACGGATCCAAGTACTTACGGTGATGAACTGAGGCTAACAGCCTTGACAAACCAGTTTGATGACAATTCATCACAGAATCCAAGTCAAACTCAGAGCCTTATTCCTTCATCATCAGATGCACCATGGATTGGTTCTTCTGCTATTACTACGTCTTCTGATCTCTATAAAATCAATCCCAGTACTAGTTCTTGCTAATGTAAATGCTAGGACTCAAGATTTCACGTTGGAAAAATTAGCATATCTTAAAGTGATTTATGAGCTCTTAAACATTATTTTCTTACAAGTCGGTTTTTAGAGGTAAGTTCTACCCATGAACTCTTCACAATAAACATTTCTTCGCGCTTAACTACGCAAATGCTCGTGTAATGATAAACTAATTAGTAGTATATTTGCAGAGGATACATGGCACCAGAATATGCATTATGGGGTCACCTGACGTACAAAGCAGATGTTTACAGTTTTGGAGTAGTGGCCTTGGAAATTATTAGTGGGAAGAACAACAATAATTATATCCCAAGTGATGACTGGGTTTGCCTTTTAGATTGGGTACTCTTACCATTCCCTCTTGCTCTTTGATCCATTTTTACATCCATCTTGTCACATCTGGTTGTTCTCATTGTTACTAATTCAGTGAGAAACTACAATAAACATTTGCAGGCTTGTCATTTGCAACAAACCGGAAACTTGTTGGAGCTAGTTGATGAGAAGTTAGGGTCCGAGGTCGACCAAAAAGAAGCAGAGATCATGGTTAAAGTGGCTCTGATTTGTACAAATGCCTCTGCATCACTTAGGCCTAGCATGTCCGAGGTGGTGAGCATGCTTGAAGGACAAACCCCTGTTCCTGACGTGATCCCAGAACCAAATACCTATAGAGAAGATTTGAGGTTTAAGGCCATGAGAGACCTCCAGCGGCAGAGGCAAGATCATAGTTTAAGTATCAGTGGAACACAGCATTCAACTACGGTCCACACATTCGAGTCTACCTCTACGTCCGGCCTTGAATTCTCTGAAATCAATCCAGACTCAACACCCTCTTGACAGTTGTGGACATTCTGGTTCTATAGTAGCAAGTATGTTGTAGTTTGTTGTCTTCGGAAACGCATATGCAGATTAGCTGTGTAAATATTTTCTTTTCTGTACATATTTTGTTCAATTTTCTATTAGCTATATTCGTTCCATGTTTGTCTCTGCAAACAACAATGATAACAATATCAATATTATTCAATTGAAGATTCAATTTAATTATTTCACTCGTTTCCTCACCAAAGACTGAATAATTTCTGCTGTAAATTTCTACAAATTAATAGAAACGTTGAAACTGTAACTGCAATATTTTGAAATTATATTTCAGCCGCAGACAATATCTATATATATAAAGCAAAAGACAGAAAATGGTGAAACATTCAAAATACCAAAAAATGCCCTTGGTTAATGTAAACATTAAGAATTGAAATTATTAATAAATGAGGATAATATGGTAAATTCACACTTTTTCATATTTAAAAAAAATTAAAATTAAAAGAAAAATCAGATAATGGATCCTATTTTTATGGAACACAACTACCCATTATCTTTTCTAATTCTAAAATAAATTAAAAATTTTTAAAAAAAAAACTTCTCCCAACTGAAGGGCGTGCAGAGAGGGTAGTTACCATAATAAAATAATGAAATCAAAATGATCCGAAATGGGCTCCATATTGTGGCTTCCAGAATGGGGATGATGTGGGCACGCTCTGTGGGCTTTGCATTTCGAATGAGACCAATTTGAGTCTGGTATTTAGGTTTGGTCCACTATCTCATCATCCATTGTCGTTTCTAAAAGGTTGCAGGTCTAGGGATGGGAGTCATGGGCTGGATGATTTGTCATTTTGCGTGGACAGACATCCGTGGGCTTATCACCTTTCTTGTTTTACATAAAGTAATAGACCAAGCTTCTTTTATTTATTTTTTATATTACATAAAGTAATAGACCAAGCTTCTTTCTTTTTTCAACTAACATTAAAAATGTTGCGTCTGGAAATGTAGAGCTTTTTTTGTGGACAGAAATGTAGAGCTTTTTTTGTGCCAACCCTACGAATTATACGTAATATTGTCGGGTCTTTATACAATTGACCATTCATTATTTTCCTGGTGATTTTTCAAAAGATAAGGTTTATCATGCAGAATTGTGGAGCATTTAACTTTTTTTTTTAATGTGGATAGCATTGCTATCTCCAATCAATAATGCAATTATCGTGTCATCAAAAGTCTTATTGATTAATAAGTCTACTGTCTATTCTATAAGGGGTTCCTTCATTAATAGGAACTGACCTGAGGATGAGACATTGAATATTCCAGTCAAGGGTGATGTGGATGCAGCAAGCGAGGTTGAAGCCTTGTACATCAAGCATTAATACCAATATCAACTTTAAACTCTTAGGTCCTTTTTCCCCACATGAGAAAGCATGTGATGCAACATTTTAGGACTAACTTACCTGTTATAATTCTCTAATACCACTTTTGACCTTTAGAAAAACTTTTTGTATTTCTTTCTAATTTTTTAACCTACGATTTTCAGTCTCAAACGGTTATTTTTTTGTTGGCGATCTTAGTCCAGAGGTTACACATCTGCAACTTTATTTGCTTGGTTCTTGGTCTGTCATAGTTGCTATGACTTTGTGTTTTTTTGTTGTTGTTTTTTTATCCGCAACCAAGAGGATCCTCAATGGCTTGGAAGTAGACAAATAAAATGCAATAGTGTTCGCTCCATTGAAGAGAAGCAAAGTAACGACACTCAAAATGTTTACTTACAAATGGATCTTCATATGGAGGTCAGGAGGAGAACTCCAATTAAGAGGCCCCTGAAAATAATCAAGCATACACTACCATCTATGTTGGCAATCTCTTCCATGAGGTTACTCAAGGTTAATGATTAGGAATAGTTTTTTTTTTGGCGACTGCTACATGATTAAGAATAAATTTTAATTAAAAGAAATTAAATGGGTGTATTCAATTAGGATTTTAATAGCCCGGCCCGATTAAGCCCATGAAAGCCCGGCCCGGCCCACCCACAAAAGTCCGGCCCGTTAGGCCCGCATACATATATAATTATGTATAAATAAAGGTTTAGGATTAGGATTACATCACTTGAATGACAAATCCCCCTCTTTCATTTTTTTGTGTGTGTTACTTGTTTGAAAAATTGTGTTTCTATTGAATTCTACTCATTCCTAATTTATAATTGGATGATTAGCACATTAATTTGTGTCATTTATTAATACAA